AGACAGAAAGAAACGTGTTAGAAAGCAAAGAAAGAAAAAGAAAAAGAGTGGTCACCCTTCACCAATTCTTGCATTGTTAATTGCCTTGAATTCAGCCAAAATATTGCAAGTAAGCCTTAGATGATTTTCCTCAAAGTTTGACGGAAAAACTCTCAGGCAGACACAAATACACCCACACACGCACACACACAGAGCAGAGAGTGCTTAATTTGATATTACCATCTTTTATTTGGAGGCAACGTTGTGCTGAACAACCAACATGGCAATAGTAAAGCTGGCTTTCCAGAGCAGACTGAGGAAAGCAGCTGGCCAGGCAATTGAAATAACACGGATACCTCTCTACTATTGGTCTGCTACTAAGCAGAAAGCACACATTGTAACATCCTCCCCAACAAGCATATGTGCTTTGTCCTGTGGCATTTTGAGCTAACATCATTGACACATAAACTGTGATCATCAATCCCCAAACCCTGATGCTCCTCCCCATTTCAGAGTTCAGACCTCTTTTTCCCTCTCCTTGGAAACAGTGCAATAAACACCTTGCAAGTTGATGTGTTCTGACATGTTTCGGGGAAAAAGGACTATCTATAGGTCAAATGGCCAACTAACTTGGCGCTTTTCAGTCCAATGTATTTAATGTATGGTTCGTGCAGATAACTTTTCTTTCCTAAGAATTACTACTCCCTCCGTCCCGTTTAATTAGTCTTGATTTTTTTTTTCACACAGATTAAGAAAGTATAATTAATTTGGTTGGAAACATAAATTTAGATTAATAATTTCCTAAAATACCCTTATGCTAATAACGAAGAGTGCATTGGAAAAGCTCAATGTATTCAATGTAATGGGTTAGTATTTAATAACAATGTATTAATAACAAGATATTTAATAAGGTATTGTAGACAATTTGAAAGATCATTACCTTTCTTAATGGAAAGTGGACTATAATTTGGGACAGATCAAAAAGGAAAACAAGACTATCAAAGTGGGACGGAGGGAGTAGTACTTTCCACCTCTGATCAGCACCAGAGGGTTTATCACTTGCTGATCCATACAAAACAAAGAGTTAGTTGTAATTACTAAATGCTAAACATGATTTCCTGTTTAAGTATCAATCAGACGTACGTTACAAAGACTTTTCTTCATCAGGTAGGTAGGTATAGTTCAATTGTCCACGCAATCAGTAATAACATATGTCCACCAATCACTGCTTCCTTTCACAATTTTTGCTAGTAGGAAATAGTAGTTTTTAAGAGCTAAGAAGATATGCATCTACAGCAAAATTTTTCATAAACACCCCGATCTAAAGGGAGCTAAGAATATCAGTTGTTTTTCAATTGATGTTCCAAAGATGTGCTGTGCTTCAAAGCCAAAAGTAGCGTCCATTGCTAAATGTGAACTGTAAAAATTGAAACAAAAAAAACCAAGAAGAAGAAGAATTGTGAGGAAACATGATTGCATCCCCACCATTAAGCCATCAATCATTGCACCAAAATTTCTCAACTCCAAATAATGTTCATATCAGTGAAACAGTAACTGTCCTTTATGGCAGTACTCGTTTTTCCAGAGCCATCCCTGCATTAAATTTTTGCCGACATTGGTTCCTGCATGAAAATGTACAGTCTATTGTCGTGACCTGTCACCCTGATTGCTTAGGAAGGTAACTAATGAGATGCATATCATCTTCCAACTATGCCATTTTCTTCTCTCTTTATTAATTGCCGAGTTGATAAGGTTGTGCTTCAATTTGTAAGAAAGCAGATTTCAGGGTATAGACATAGACAATAAAAATAAAAAGCAATTGATTTGATGAAAACATGTTGCCAATATCCTTTTGTAACTGATGAAATGCAATATTTAAGGCAATTATACACAACATAAGAGACAAATGAAGTAAAATCAAGCAGTTTGACACTTCAGTTCACTGGGTTGAAAACACAGAAAAAGAAGTCAAGGATCCATTGAAAAGGTCGAGAACTTGATATGCTCAAAAGTATTTAAGGGAGTATGAGTAGGAAAGCAATACCCAAAATTAGTTTGACTTTTCAGAGGCTGAATACAGTTAGTTTGTCGGATTTAAAGCCATATCAATGTGCCAATGTCCACATTATTGGATATAAGTTGTGAGTGATTCAACCCCTTATTTTCAACACATGACATATTTTAGCTTTGACATTTTTGTCTTGAACAGAAAACAGTTTAGTATGATATGATGTAGTACCAACACTCAAGCTCATATGTCATAACATTATGAATGCCCAAATTTGGTTGGTTATGGATGCATAACATAAACAATTTTCTTCGTTTCCTGGTTGCTAACCATGCTAAATGCCTCATTAGGCCCCTTTCAAACCTACTGATCAGTCCAACTTCATTGGCTGATTTTTGTGGGTACAGCATCAGTAATGAGGGTTAGACAAAAGTAGCAGTGGTATTTAATTTGTCACATTATAGCAGACCTTTTTTCTTAGATTAGGTGGATCGGGTTTACACTTTACACTTCTGCAGATGTGACCCAATACGCTAAAGGTGCCATTGCGCGTTGGTCCGAACAAATATTTTTTGCTTCCAGCACGTCAATTTGTGAAGTGTACATGATTGTTTTGGTGAAAGAACGAATTGGTTAGACCAATGTTTCATTGGACTCTTTTCCTGACATCTATATATGCAGAGAAGGTGAAAAAATATGCACGCAAAGGCATATTGAGACATCAGGAAATGCCAGTTTCCGTCCCCAAATTTTAGGCCATGAACATATTTCGTTCTCAAATTTTTGGCAAAATATATTTAATAGCTAAACTATCAATTTTGAGTAATTTCATCCTCAAATAAGAATTTAATCAATTTGAATAGAAATTAGACATTTGATGAGCATGACCCATTAAATAAAAAGTTTTGTACGATTAAAATCAGCAAAATAGAATGACTATCTTCACTCTCTTGACTCCAATACCTTTCTTCCCAACTTCAATTTTCCGGTCAAATTCATTCATTTCCCATTTGAGGATAAAATTGATCAAAAATTGATAGTTCAATTACTAAATGTGTTGTACCAGAAAATTGAGAACGAAATATGTACGTAGGTCAAAGCTCAGGAATGAAACTGTTATTTTCCCTTGAGACAACTAAGGCAGCAGCTCAAGCGACCAGAAAACTCGAGACAATGGGATAAGGATGGTAATGGTTTTGCCAGGTTACAAAAATCAGTGTATTAAAAGAATTTCTTGTAGACAATAAACTGAACAAGTGAATAAATACAATGTAATTGAGACTTCACATAAAATAGACATTACCTCTACCTTTCTTTTCTTTTTCTATAATCTCAAATAATATATATATTTTTTTTGAATTTTGCAAGTATGGTGGTCTTTGGACCTATTCCCAGCTACAGATGTCACTATTTTCAAGTTTCTGACTTCTAATTTGTATACACAGCACATGAGAGCATGTACTACACAGATTTCTAGTAATACTTGAGAGTACTCCTTTGTATATGCATCCCCATAAAGGTACAAGGACATTCACAACGCATAGATGGCTCACTTAAAATTTAGCTCATTCCAGCAGCGAGCGACCAAAATTTCAGATGTAATGGGTCAGAAATCAGAAGAGAACCATATTGTGCTACATTCAACTATGTGTACTTGTCTGCAGCTATCCAAATGGATTTCCTCCTGTCAACGAGTAGGATTGTGGTGTAGCTGATGAGGGGTTTACGCCATGTGATTGTTGAATGGGGTTAAGAAGAAGAAAGGCAGTATCATCGTTCATCCACTTGACTGTTTAATAGGGTTAAGAGAGGCAAAGGCAGCATCATTGACATGGAAGGTATTAGCTCCTTGCGGTCTGCATACATCAGAGTAAGATGTTACTTTAGTCCTTATTTTAATATTTTCCATTGGATCAATTGACTACAGAGTAGTTCGCATTCAAGCAAGCATAGAGCCTAAGGGCTTTCTCTATTTGTCTTTACCTCGTTCAACCAGGTAGAGATATCCATAATATGATGTTATAAGAAGCCAAAGCAAAGACTTTACCTGGAAGGAAGTATATTATTTGCTATCTGTTGCCTGTATTCCTGAAAGTGTTGCCATAGGTCAAGATGACAATATGTTACAAATAACACACAAACAAACAGATATTCTAAGAGAGATAAGTGAATCCTTTCATATAACCTGGAGGCCTCATAATTCCATAAGGAGGTCCGTGTGTTTGCGTTGCCGATGAATATGGCACTACTTGAGGCTGTAACCCTTGCGAAGTTGACATATTGGCATCTGTCCTTGCAAAGGTGACATTGAAGGAAGCTAAACAAAGAGAGTGATACTTCATGGTTAGCAAATTCAAAAAATGCCTGATCTAGAAACCTGAAATGAAACACAACCATGCAAATGTAAGCAAGAATATACCGAGGAAGATAAAAAACTACAAGTGTCTTTCTGTGAGTTTTCCACAACTCAGGTTCATCCGAACTCACATCAACTAAATTTGCAGGCATGCATGATACAGGTTGTCAAGCCAGTAAATGTTAATCACTATTCTTTTGGAGTGACAATTTAGAACGGAGTTGTGATAAGAGGTAGCTAGGAAAGAGTATCATACTTAATTATAAAAGGATTTGACCTATTCTACTGGCAGTTGCCAGTTGCAATACCAATTTTCTCATTTTCATTAAAACCTCAAAAAAATAACAAACTGCCCTAATCTACTCCTTTGTTAAAGTTGTAAGTTAAACTTTACTTCATTTATAACTTGTGCTAAATTAACTTCTAGAATGGCACACGTGTAGAGTGTGCATGAATGGCTAGTACATATTGAAACAAAAATTTATCTTCCTGAGAAAATTATAGACAATAATTTTAATTATATGCTAAAATGCCTGTTGGTCCTTTTCTGGCCTTGGAAGGGAATGAGGTTGGTGGGGTTTTTTTGTTGGGGGGGGGGGGTGGAAGGGGAAGAAAATAAATGAGATGATCTGTGCCTACCATGGTGCCTTGAGCTAAGGACCATCATCACCAATATCAAATGGGTTCCTTGATTTAACCGAATCTTGGTGAGCTCCCATGGACTGTACCCAGAGAGAGAGAGAGAACAAAAAAATTGAGTTAATTAAAAGAACTAGTAATTTGTTTAGTTGCTGTTATCTTAAATTTTTAGAGGGTGTTATGCTACCATTGCAGTAACATGGTACTGAGTGCCATATCCCATTCCATAAGGGGAAGTGGATTGCCAGCCTGGAACTGCAGCAGCAAATGATGAATAGCTTGATGTAAAAAGGTCCTGCATGGTACAGTCTATAATTAGATGAAATTAGTGAGAATTGCATAAAAAATCAAAAATGTTCCACTATGCTCATACCGCTGGAAGTTCTTTTCTTCCACTGAGTAATTCATTTCCCAAACTAGTATCATTAGCTGCCTGTGGGACAACTTGTGTTGCTTGTCCAAATGATGTATTGGTTGGTTGCACTTTAGCATGCTCAGGTTCTGAAGTCAAGGACTGTAGGCCAGCATAGAGTAGAATCAGCTACTGCTCCTTGGTTGGACAAATTAAAGCAAGACAGAGGAGAATACAAAATTTTGCAGTTCAACTGTTGCATCTGAGTACCTAAACCAGACTTGAACGAATGATCTCCTAAGGACAGCTTGAGGCCAAATCAACTTCTTACCTCATTGTTTGCAGCTTCAGAGAAGCAGTAGCCTTCTGAGCAGTAAAGTTACTATTTACTGGAGGGGCTCCAAATGGCTCACTTTGCTGCAAAGCTGGCAGCGTTGGGGCATCAGCAAGCTTATCCTTAGAGTCACTGCTATTACCAGGGCATGGTGCAGCATTTTCAATGTGTGAAGCAGTAGTAATTGCAACATTGTTCGTAACTGTACCCACATCAGGATTAGATGAACCTACAATAGCAGCTGGATTGTCACCACCAGGAGACATTTCAGGCATGCTACCTGCAGGATGTGCCAGTCCAAACAATAGCAGTTCAAGTGAATTAGCATTTGGAGCATTAGAGGCCTTCTCATTTGCAGAAGACATGGCAGCACTCTTGCTACCATCACCAACAGGAACTGTTTGTTGAGTCTGCACTACTGCTGTTGTTGCAGAAGGCTCAAGGTTAGCATCAAAATCTATCAAGCTGTTAAGAGTATTCACTTTCTTGTTTTCCTCTTCCTTTTTATCAACAGAGCCTGGAATTGTGTAGCTTCCTGCTGTCTGTTATGGGAATATTGAAAGATTAAAAGTCGAGCATGTGTAGAGAAGGTGTTCAAGGATCCCAAAAGCAAGAGGTTGCTCAAGAATCATCACTTTAGTCATACCTTAAGCCACATTAAAAGTCATTGGATGAGATATCTGTCCTTTCTTGCAATCAAAATGGAGCCATTCCAGAAAAACTAAATAAATAAGCTATGCGCATTTTACAATTCAATAAAGAAAAGTGATCTGTTGCGGTTTGATTTCTGAAAACTTTTCAAAAGTGAAGAGAAGAATGGTCTATCCTATGTACCTTTCATGTTCAGCAAGTTGTGTTTCATGTTTGTCACTATTTTTTCTATCTGACATGGAGCTGTACATACACTGGCCAAATTCAAAATTTGAAGCGAGAAATCATTCCAGTTCAATGTTTCAATTTCTATAGATGCTGATGTTGTGTTTCCGTAGGAAAAAAGTTATTGAGAAAAAAATACAAGTCCATCTTTACCTAGGCATGATAAAGTGCAGCATCATGAATGTTCAAATTAATATTAATAACTATCCTTTTACAGCACTGACTTTCTCAGCTGAAGAAGCATCAGATGAAGTATAGCTTAGTCAACAACCACACTGACATCAAGGAGCAAGTAATACGTGTTAAAATGTGAAAGGAATTTAATATTTGTTGCATGACCAGAATCAGGAATTTAACTAACCTGAACAGCCAGAGCCATCAACAGCATTTGCTTTAGGAGATTCTCCACTTTTAGCATTTTAGAGGAGAGATTTGTCAAATCTAAAATGTCATTTAGTGGACGTATTTGCGGGCTCTTTTGAAATATCTCTGCTCTTTTGTGAAATTGGTGAGCTGCTTCTAGCCCTGGACTCTGTATCTGAGTATCTGTGAGTCAAAACTTTCCTTACAGATCCATATCCATTTTCCCGGAACCTATCATCAACTATTTCAAATCGAGGTGCCCGGCTATTCTGACTTCCAGACTTCAGCATTTCTTGTTTGTATCGAGGGCTATTTCTTGATCAATGTGATTTTTCAAATTTCTGCCATCGTTTCTACTTAGAAAAGAATGTTCAAATGAGTGCCGCTCAAAGAAATCATCTCTCCGAGCATCATCCGTATGAAAAAATTCTTCTCTAGCACCACGACGGGATGTTTCAAAAGAATGCCGCTCTTGGAGGTCCTCCTTTGCACTCTTTAGCATATACAGAAGCATGTCAGTTGAGATCTACCTGGCCTAGGTTCATTTTGACAGAAACTCAATGCATTTGGTTGCCGATAAGACAAATAGGAGCAAATAACTACTACAAAGTACATATTCAGATCAGTTATATTTTAAACAGTGAGATTATTAAAACTGCTGAAGATAATAAAAGATGATTTAATGGCCGTATGATTATACATTCAGAGAGACTTACCGCTTTAACCATTGAAAGCTTGTCATTACGCCTAACACCAGCATATTTTCTGTCTATGTAGACGTGCTTGATGAAATCACGAAGTCTATGAAGATTACTGGAAACAAAAAGAATATCTCATCAGACAGAAAGAGTCCCTATGATGCCTCTATCCTAGTGTGGAAGCAAATAGATTTACCTCCCGTCAGGAAAATAATTTCTATGCGGATCCCATTCTTTAAGATAAATCTGCCTTGCTCGCTGTGACATTGTCCATTAGGTTAGTCATTATATAAAGTTCAGTTAATTTCGACTGAAGAAACAAAAGTAGGTTTAAACTGATATGCGAGCAGACCTCATTACCCCCTGCCTGAAGAGCATCTACTTCTTCTGCAGAAAATTTAGCCATTGACACAGATTTTACTCGATGTGTGAATTCTCGACTGAAAGTTTTGAAGAAAAATCAGTCAGCCTGCGCTTTTCATATGACTGAATTTCAATAATATCATTAAATTAGCCTTTTCTTTTTTGTTGTTTACAACATTATTAACTTTATGCTGAATCTCTGAAAGTTCACCTAATGTCACAAATTCAACAAATATCAGAATAGAACTGCAAAAGGCATAATTTTCACTTACTGTACACCACTGCAGTTTGTGCAAATGAATGTCAAGAAGGTTGTGCATACATATTGAGGCCCCTGCTTGATAGAAATTTGTATCATTACCAAGTTATGATCAAACTGCTGCTATGAAGGAGCTCGAAAGCCCCTCTACCACGAAGAAAAGAAACAGAAGTGCAGATATAGACTTCTGCAATCGACTCTCTTAGATTCTATTAAAAAAGAAAGGATGCAGACTGAAAGTCTAGAACTAGATGCACACAACATCATAAAAGATAGTGGTTTTCTTCTTATCCGGTCATTACTTTTCGGGAAAAAGAACAATCCCGGCATTATTTCCTAAAATCCATTAGGATCTTGAAGAGTTATTTGAGTTTCTCTGCTTTGCCTTTGATTATTTGACCACAAAATAAGGTAGCAGTCAAAGATGGTTTAAAAATTCAATCTTCATAGCGGACATATTTTGTAAATATTTAAAACTTGTAACAGCCTAGGGAATTAACATATCTTTTGGCAAACATCTTAGAATCTTCACTACTAAATCAATAAGTACAAAGACCCTGAATAGACAAGCTTATTAGGGGAGAGAATCGAAGGCTTTACAGTTTACGTTTACTAAAATCCTAGTATCATCAGTTCATCATCAGAAAACAATGGATGAAGCCAGGTGAGAGATTGCAAAAAGATTTAATACTTGAAGGGCTGTTTAAAATTTTTTTCCCCAGTAAAACCATTGCAATCATATTCAACAATTTGACACCGTCACTTTCATAATATACCTTCTTTGCAAGGTAATATTCCCTATTAACTTATAAAGCTTAAACCGTTAGCAGTTTTTCAGATCTTCATATCATAGGTAAAGATGACAATGATACAACAAGGTAAAAAAAACTGCTTACCAAACTGTTGCAGTTGATACATCTCTTATTTTCTGGAAGCTTAAGAAGACCACGAATGATCTTCTCAATTCTCTCTTCTTCCTTTACTTTTCCTTTGGCATCTTTTACCACTTCTGTTCCTCTTTTTTCTCTACAAAAATCATGACAAAAAAAACAAATCTTTTAACATTCTTGAACTCTATATCTCAATCTCGAAATCTACAGCTAAGAGAAGTGTTCAGCAACATCTATGAGCATATCCCATGTCTTGCAATAATAGGAAAAACCTGACAAGCGGAAAATTAATGAGATTCTTGTCCGTTGATCCGTGACTCTAATTATCAAATCCCTAGTCAAACATAATTACCTTTTTTTTTTTTTCTCTTTTGCTAAGTCTTTTCGCATACCATTTTGAGCTTCTTGTGTTTGTGGTGTTCTGAGATTAACCGACACCCTTTCTTGATGGGATGAATCTACAATGGAAGGTTATTTTCTTCAAGAATTTGGGCAAATAACGAATGGCATTTCCCCCCTGGTTGTGGGACTTTGCTCAGCTGGTGTGTGCCTCTGAAAGAGGGAGAGGAGAAGCGGGAGTCAGGAGAGGTGAGGAGGGAATTTTGGCGGTTTAGACGGTTTAGTGACCGTTGCTTTTTCTTGTTTTTCTGTATTTCTTACGTAAACACAACAATAGACAGATTTTATTTATTGATTTATATTTTGAAGATAAGCAATATACAGTTTTTTTTTTAATGAAGAATCAACATCTATAATCAAGATGAGGTAAATGTTCAATATAGGAATAAATATAACTTATCTTCTTTTTCAAAAGAAAAAGAAAATAAAGGATTATGGAAAGGACAATGAGATAACAATAATCAAACTCTTGCTCAAATGTAAGGAACAAAACTTATGCGAGCTTTTTTGTTTCATGAATTGCATATGGAAGGAGTGTACCATTTGTACAAATTTATTTGTTTGCATCATAAATACATTTGAGAGAACTGCACAAATAGTCTCACATATTGCAAATGTAAAAATTTAGTCCCTCAGATCAAAATGATCACTTTTAGTCCTTAGAAAATAAAAAATGATCAATTTAAATCCGTTTCACTTTTTCGAACGATTTTGCCCGGAATATCTCACGTGCACATCACGTGCCCAACTTTTAAAGGGTAAAAAGGCCAAACCATTTGTCTGTTGACCAAAATGTAAGGACGAATGGTTTCCAAAATTCTTTTCCTTCATTTCAACCAAACCCAAAATCTAAGCTTCATCTCCATGGCAGAACCACCAACTTGTAAATGCGGTATACCACGAGGTGAAAACGTCGTGGACAACTGAAAATCCAGGAAAGATTCTATGGTTGCACTTACTACGAAATAAGTGTGCCTGATTTCTATTGCTTTTTTATTTCAAAAATGTGAATTTGAAGAGGTAATTTTGAACAGCATATTAGTGGTGGCGGCTGTGGCTATTTCAAGTAGCATGATACAAACAGTTGCGAGAGGTGCGATAAATTAATGAGACACAAGAAGATTGACGAAGAGATTAAGAGAATTGGAGGCAAAGGTGGAAGAAACAAACGCAAAGAGAAAATGATGAAATTGTTGCTGTTTGTGGCCTTTGTATTCGCAATGCAAAAATTGTTGTGCAAAGATTGAATTGTAACTGGCATTTGTTGGTGCAAGTGGTGAAATGGGAATTGGGTGGCTTTTATTTCTTGTATTTAGGTTGGGTTACGTTTAGTGGCCCTGTTGATTGTACAAATGGGAGTTGGAATGCAATTATGAAACTTAAGTCCTCTCTGCTATATTGTGATTTTTTCTTGAATATGAGCTTACAGCAAATATGGAATAAAGTCTAACTTGAATATGTTGTAAAAAACTGACCAAGAACGGTTCTGTATTGAAAGATAATGAAGGTGATAATAACAATATTATAAGTGAAGAAAGAGTAGAAAGTGAACCAATTATGAAACTCCAAAAATAAGAAGGGCATGCATTCCATTGCAATGAAAAAATAGTATATAACCGAGTCACGTAATTCATTACCATACGTTTTTTTGTCAAAAAAATGCAATGAACTAAGAAGTCAATTCCAGTGCTCCAAAAAAAAGGTTGCTGAAATCAAATATACGATAAAAAGGTGAAATGCAACCATTTGCAGCACTTTTAGAAGTAGTTATCTTTGTAGTCATTCCTTTTTGCAACAACATGCCCTAGTCATCTAGGTCAGCTTGTCATCCCTCTTTGCAGCACTTTTAGAAGTAGATATCATTGCAGTCTTCTTAGGCCTCTGATACAAATAAAACAATGAGGAGCTCATTACTTACAATCAATAGCAATTTTTGCAATCTTAGAAGTAGATATCTTTGCAGTCTTCTTTAGATGATGCATGTAGTAGACAATAGCAATTTACTTACAGCTAATCCAGATGATTTCCATGGGTATTTCTTATAGAGAGAGACCAATGTTGAATCACAACTATTTCGAGTGTGTCTAAATCTCCAACATACACTACATCTGTACTTGACTTTCTTACCCTGACAATTGGTAACTAGAAATTCAAGTAAATAATAGTATAGAAAGAAGTCAACGTGCTATAGAACAAAATTAGAATGAACAAATAGAGAAGTATGAATTGGAGATGTTGCATTCTTTGTTATTGATGTTAGAGTAGTGGTTTGCTGGTTGTAGGTTAACATGGGATTTGACTAATGAGATCAAACAAGATTTGGTCACTTGTATCAGTCTCCAAGCCACTTGCATCAAAAACTGCTTCAAGTGTGAAATTGGACTATTTGTTTGCAATAGGAGTAGCATTTTTAGACTGGTAATCAGTTTGGGACTACTGAGGTTGGGACTGCTGAGTTTGGGACTGCTGAGGTTGGGACTATTTGTTTGCACCAGTCATAGTGTTAGGAGTCTGCTGCTGTGGCTAAGAGCTACTTGTAACCGCAGTAGCTTGTTGCTGGACATTCCCTTGATCATAACTGCTTGGACACTCCTACTATTATGGCCCTTTTGTTTACACTTTTTGCACTTATAATCCGTTAGACCCACTCTAGACAGTCTCTTTGTTTGTCCTCGAGAAGTTGTTGCAGCCGGTGGCTTATCTGGTTCTCTTCTTCTTACCTTCTTAGGCCGGCTAGAAAGCTTGATAGTTTCAGGTGGTAGGACAGCCCCTATTTCAAATCTTTTCACAAATGCTCACCATTGAGAGGATATATTATAGGCCCCATATGCTCTCATAGAAGCCTCTTTTAAGTAGCATTCATTAACAAAGTTCTCCAAAGGCTCTTTTGTCAAAGCAATAGCACTCATTACACGAGTACAAGGAATGCCATTTATTTCCCACCTTCTACAACTACAAGTTCTGCTAATCAAATTCATAGTGTACATATCCCCATACATACATCTCATCTCATAATTCTAGTCCCCTGAAGGTGTAGCTATACAAGCACTAGAAGCACTTTTTACTTTTTTCAACTTTTTAAAAATTTTTGGACATATCTTTCCTGTATATTTCTTCATCCACTCCCTCTTATTCTCCATTCTAACCATTAAATAAAATCGTGTTGTTTCCAACATATCTAGTTAGGCCTCTCTCTTGCTTCTAAAATGTTGGAGTTGAAACTCACACATAGATTGTTAAATAAAATGTCATATTTAGGGGAGGTTCTAAAATAAGTTCTGGACCATTGCTGTGGTGTTATGTTGTCAAGCAACCACTGAAATGCACCCTCATCAACTGCTTTCAAAGCTTCCTTCAAAACTTTGAACAGATTTTTATAATGAGCTTTTGCAAGTGCCCAAATTCTCTCCTTTAATGCCAAACCACCATGCAACTTTTTAAAGTTACTGTACATGTGTCTCACACACATCCTATGCTCCATATCAGGAAGCGACTCTTCAATAGCTTGAATCAGTCACCTACGAACCATTTTCAAGTCAGCTTGTTTTCTATTTCCACCACAGCATACTTAATAGAGTACAACTGATCATTGGGGTCAATCCCTACTGTTGTAAGTAATACACTCTTATGGGGCCTTTTAAGATGGCAGCCATCTAACCCGACAACAGGCCTACAATTACTTAAGAAGCCTGTCTTGCATGCATTAAGACAAATATACAACCTCTCAAACCTTTCTTCCGCTTCATCATCTTCAACAGTGGTCATGAAAACATTTGAACCAGGATTGGCCCTCGTTACTTCCCTATAATAGTTCCTTAGTTTGTTGTATTGGGTTTTATGTTCACCATTAACTAAAATCTCTGTCTTTTTCTTGGTTCTATAAGCTTACCACCTAAAAATGTTGACATTAACGTCAGTCTTCACTTTATTTGTGTGTGTACTCACCTTCATGTCAGCCATAGCAGCCAGCTCTTTTTTGTATCTGTCAACCAAAAAGGTTGAGTTTGCCAGTTCGTGGTCAAATGTCCTCCTATAACTGTGTTCACCTTGCATGCTCTTGACTTGAAAAGTCTTCTTGTCTGGCATAATGGCTGTAGAAACTTTCCAGCTACAGTCCTTGCAATAAGCCGTAACTCTTCTGCCATCATTTTTACTGAACTTTATCTTCTTTCTGTGAACTACTCCATGGCTCTTGCATGCCTTTATGAACAACTGCTTACAAGTAAAAGTCTGTCCAACCAGAAATTTGGAATCGGCCATATCAGTTTCAGGGTTAAAATTTGAAAACTTAGCCCTTTTTCTTAGCTGATCTTCTTCTTCTGAGTCACAGCAACTATCAAATTCATCTGAATCAGTGGCATCTTCTTCTATCTCAACACCCTCCATTTGAGATGTAGTTGCATTTGTAGTCTTACTTGATTTGCAATTTTTGACAATTTTCTCCCATTCACCTTTTCTTTATTTAACAGATTTTACTATGTTCTCTTCATCACTAAACTCATAATCACTATCAATGAACTTGTCACCATCACCAGATTCCTCATCTTCCTCAACAGGTGCCTCCTTTTTGTTCTCTCAACTTTTTTAGCCTACTCTTTATTTGTTGAGAATTTTTCTTTAATGATTTCTCTTTTGGTAATTTGCTAGTAGAGGGTACATTTTTTCTTACATATTAGACTTCTACA